ATCTTCTGCAAGAGGTGTGAGAACATTCCCGTCCAATGGAGAGATTTCACTGACGTAAAAAAAATTCATTAATGAACAATGAAGAAGCTCAAAGGAGGGATGGCTGCTACGGAGGCTTCATGCAGTCTAAATGTTCCGTAGTCAAAAGGACATAGCAAATATAATCAAAAACTTGAAAAAACAATCTGGTCCATAAAAATCTGAGTACTATTGGGTCTTAGAATTGCTTTTGAGGAAGTCGAGGTTTTTAGCGCTCCTTGGGGTTTATTAGCACTCAATCATTGAAAATAAAGTTGGTCAATCCGTTTCTGGGATGCGCGGTATGCGTTTTATTCAATGCAGGGATTGTGTGGCATTTTCGGACGCGATGTGGCTATACAGGGAGTAGCGGACGCTGAGCAGTTGCCGGTAGGAGTCGCATTGATTAGCCAGAAGTATATATAGTCCATGGAATTTTTCGTAGTTGATTTTTCGCGTCCAGTGCGCGCTATTCACAAACTGGGAGACTCATTGGACGGTCGTATTTGCTCGTCGCCTGGGATGGGAGGGGTCGTATCTTTTCCTTGGAAAATTTTATCGGCGCGAAAAGTTTTCTTTGTTGATCACTTTTCGCGATTTTTCCCGTTTCACCTTAGCTCATGTGCTATAGATCGCCCAGTTGGCGAGCAGCCACGAACGCTTCATTAACAACAACATTTTTGGGGTGGAAAGTAGTTATAGGTCTGCTGGAAGCATCTCCCACAATTAGAACGTGTTTTTTTGATGAGAACTATGGGAAAATCAGGACAAATCAGTGTTAGTTAATCAGAAAAAAGCGAGATAGCGAGTAAGTTAGGACAGTAGGAGGGTCGTACTTTGCAAATTATGCAGCGGAGGAAATGCGTTGGGCTATTGAAAATAACTTGGGAGAGTCCTGTCATTGCTTCATCCTCCCAGGCGAATCTGTACCGTCCTCGGAAAAATGAATGTTCAGATTTTCTAGGCGAAACCTGGTCCGGGATTTGACCCCCGAATCCCCGCGCGTGGTTAGATGTCATCTGCCACCACATCACCTCCACAGTAGCTCAAGGTATAAAGTTTTAATAGTTACAAAATAAATAGATTTAAAAATAAATAGTCTAATAATGAGCACAATGGTCTTAATGGCACAATTATTCAGAGCAAATATAGAGGCAAGATCTTGAAACAAGTAGCGTCCTACACTGTACATGAGAAGAAGGCGTGGAAAGTGATTTCGCGGCTTCCCCTGTTCCGCTCCACCTTTCTCCCGCTATTTAGCAACCCACTCTGTGTGGGTTTTTTCTAAGTTACGGAGTGTGTGATGGAACACAGTACGCACAGGAATATTCATTTCAGATAGAGATATTACAATGACATCACACCAGAAAAACTCGTTTGTTTAGGTGCTGTATGAGAACTGAAGGTTGGGTTTCTTTTCCAACGCATTAGGCGCCGTATCGGATGTATCGCGGTTTTGTGAAGGCAGTCGTGAAAGGGCTTCTTGAACGTCTTCCGGTTCGGCTAACTCTATGTCAGCCATCTCTGCACTTGTTCCCAAAGCTTCCATCGCTGAAAAGAACACTATATTTTACTTCCCGAACTTCTGTTACAATAGTGGCCCCGGGCACCGCATAACAACCAAATATGGCCGCAATCGCAATACTTCATCGGAAATATAAAGGATAAAAATGAAGAGATGAAAATTTACCGGCCCTAGTGAAGAGGGAGGGTGAGGCACCTGACACCTCGCTATGACTGCTTCTTTGAAGGTGCTTGGATGATGATTCTTTCCTCCTCAAGGCTCAGGGCTCGTCGT